AGGTGGTTAAAAGAGGGTAAAACCAAAGGACTGTTCAGTCACAAGCATCATGGAGAGAGTGTGTATGGCTCATACACATTCCTTTTCTCTCACAAGAAAAAGCTTCACATTAATCTAACAGCAACATATGCAGACAAACAAAATGCCTACCTATGTGGTAAAGCATTGGAGCTCGCCATGTTAAGACAGGTTAGGGAGTAGGATGTTAAGGATGTGGAAATTCTATGTATTTAGGGGAAATTCTCTGTGTTTAAGGGGAACTTGAGGAGTTTGTGGAACAACTGTGGGTTAGTCAATGTTTAACGAAACAAATAAATTGGAATTCCCTGGGTTTCAGATTGGCATTTAGGAGTTTTACTGTGTAATTGTTGGAGTCCGACCCTGATGATATTTGGTCTCAAAAAGTACAGCTGTTCTTGTGCTTTTTATGATATCTATGAATTCTGCTTCTTAAAATACTACTCAAAGCATTTACTGCCCCACTCTCCATTAAGCTTCTTAGATGTAATATGGTAGGCACCCATAGATCCCATGCATAGAATCATAGAATCATAGAATAGTTAGGGTTGGAAAGGAGCTTAAGATCATCAAGTTCCAACCCCCCTGCATCTTCGAACTGGCATTGCAGCACAATTGTTTTATCCATTTATGAAATAAAAAATACCAACATTTTGTTCCCTTTGCAGCTTTTTTTCATGCAGTTTTATTAGATTCAGCTTGCTTTGTGTTCTGCGCTGGACCTTAAATATATTTATCATCTATAGCCTATATTGCCTAATACTTTTTTATTAAAAAATAATCTTGCCTTATGCAATTCTTTTGAATAACAAATAAGTTCTTGCTTTCTCTGCAGACAGACTGTGTTTAAGTTACTAATCCACCTTATCAATACAAAGGGATCTTATCAGAAAATTCTAACTGGTTTATTCACCTGTGTTATGCAGACTTCTCTGTCCAGTGTCTGCCCTTTGAAAATTGGTGTGCAGAGCAGGTTATTTAGGCTTTAGTGTGTGATGTTTTCAGAGTTTAAACAGAACATGAAGAAATAAATGCTAGTGATGAGTTGTTGCTGTAATTAGTGATTACTGTATGTTCAAAAAGAACATCTTATAATTCAAGAGTTCATTCACACAAAGACTGTTCTTTCATAGACTGATCAGCAATCAGGCTGTGATCTCTTTTAAGGAATAGTTTGGTTTCATTTTGTGGAATTTTATGTATATGAAACTATTTTCATACATGTTTCATTGAATACTACAATCTTACGACATTCTTTTACTATTGTAAATGCCATACCTGTTTTTAATATCTTTTCCTGCTTCAATAATGTAAGAGAATAGCTATCAAGTTCAGTAAACAACTCTTAAGAGCTTATTAAGATGAATCAGAAAAAATTGCCACTATTATCAAGATTGATCCTGTACAATGAAGATTTATGTCATTTTTATATGCCAAGTTCAAGGTCATTTGCCCCGCTTAAATCTGTTGCTTTTCCTTATTTCCGTACTAACAAAGGTAATTTCTACTTTCCATGTAATAATTGAAATGACACTGTACTGAATAGAAAAAAAATGTCACTGGAGTTGTTGTAGGAGAGATTGTTCTTTCTTTACTTTTTCTGTGACTTGTAGATTTGGGGCTCATTTATGCTCCAGACATTTACATCACTTTGGCTACAAAAATTAACTTTCAAATGGAAGCAAAAGTAATTTTAAGGTCCATTTAAACCCAAAGTAGGACAGAGTATCCTCAGAATGAATAAAGATCACGCTGTTATGTTTAAATAACTTAAATTCTGTCAGCATCCTGTATTTCCCCTATTGACATTTGCACATAAAATCTTGTTTCCCTAAAGGAAAATACAGTAACGTAGATCTCAGGGTTAAGAGTTTTTCATCTTTTTCATTATTATATAATGCCATTTTTTACTTGCACTCTGGATGTGGGCCAGTCCTTTCCATCCTTATTTTTAACTTTTCAATTCTCTTTGTTCTTTCATGATATTTTTATATCATGTCATGTGATATTTTAAGGGAGAAAGTGCTAAAGGCCTCTCCTAGGTCCCTTTCTTGCTCACCGCCTACGCTCATTGTGGAACGTCACAAACTAGGCTGAAGTTTATTTGCCTCTGTTTTGTCTAGGGAGGTGTGTGTACTTCTGAGAAAGTGACAGGGCTAAGGTACACATCCCTCGCTCACAGCAGTGACCCGATCCAAGCCTGTCTGGGCCTGTCTCCTGCTGTTCTGAAATGTGCACTTTCCTTCCTTCTCTTTCTCCTGGTTCTCTGAGAGCTGTTTTTACACAGGCTGTGCCAGAGGTCTGCTTCTCTGTCCATCTGAAAACCCTTTCCATCCATGCTTTCCACTCCCTTTAAACTGTTCCTAATGACTCCTTGCCACCAACTATTCATGTGAGTGTTTCATCATTGGTTTTTGTCATTTGTCAGCATTATCAGCTCTGCCTGTGATCCCTTTCTTTATCGTTTTTGTCTTTATTGGCTTTCAGTGACTCCATCCTCTCCTGAATCTCCCCAGATCTCTTCAATCTCTGCTCAAGCATATCAATGGGAGATCCTCCTGCTTTGTCAGAAGATCTTGCCAGCCTGTCTTGGTTTCTTTCTTGTTCACTTCACACCTTCCTTCTGATGTATCTCATCTGTGTGGACCTGCTTCTAGCTGGCTTTTATTCATTATGTTCTGAGTTATTTCTCAGGTGGTACCTTCATTAAAACACACCTGTGCGGCTCTGCTTTGTTGTAAAATCAAGCAGGTCAGTTTAAATTATATGACTTATGTTGACAGGGTCTGGGACAAAGGGAGGGCACTGGAGCAGGTTTGTCCTAGGCCTGTTCAAAAGCAATTACGGCACAGATTTCCAGCAAGGGAAGTACCTGCCATCTTCTGACACTGATGCTTGGTGCTGTGAAAGCATCTCTCCTCTTGGTTCACTATGAGAGTTCTTCCCTGAGTGAAAGCACACAACTCACTTTGAAAGGTTCATCCTGAATCTTGGGTCACTGCTTTGTGAGTTGGAGGAGACACCTCTTATGATTTTCTCTTTGTCTGCAGAGGCATAGCCACCTTTTATACTCTGCTGGAAATTTTCCTATTGTTCTATTTCAGAGCAGTTCTGACTTTTAAATTCATGCAGCTGTTATGCCTCAGTCTGTCACAGCACAGTGGAGCTGACTGCTGAGTGGGAAGAACTGCTCCAGAAAGAATGTTTTCATAAATTTGGCACAAAATAATTTCTTGAAAACATAATATGTGCGCTTGTATTTTCCAAGTTTTCTTTCTTGAAGCCTCCGATTAGTGTATTGGAAAATCATTTACATGGAGGAAGAAACAGGGAAAAGTACAGATGTTTTTGAAGACATTTCTCCCTGCACATAGCATACTATTTTCATGTATAAACAAGAACATTTGTTATTTATTTTATAAGCTTTTCTTCAGTGTCACCTCATATAGATTGTCATGTCAGCACTTCCATGGCAGAGACAAGAACTGAAAATCTACTTCCTGTGGATACGCTGGCCATTGATAGCAGTTTACTGGCTTTTTGTAAGCTTAGAGATTTAACCAGTGCTACTCCTTTACCCAAGCAGAGTTTTAATCTTGGATGGTTAGCTGCTGTCCAAGGCAGGTTTTTAAGCAAAACTTACTGGCTTCTGTTGGTTTGTTTGTTTAAAGGTGAAATGCATGGTGTCACTATAGTAGATTTTATTATTTATCATTTTTAATATTGTATTTTCAAAGATCTAATTCCACATTTGTATGGAAGCTCTGATTGCTTCAAACAGACTCTGTGTAGATGCAGGAGTCAAAAATGATGGAACCTTTTGGTGACCTAGGATCAATAGCTCCAAACTGAGGGAAAGCGCAAAGCACTGAAGTGGAATATGTGTCCTTTGAGCTCTTCCTGTCTGAATAATGCCCTGAGGCCTTGTTGATTCACTCATAATTTGGGGAAATTTAAATGGCTGCTTAAATGAAGTGATCCTGCAGCAAATACTCATTTGGTAAAATAAAATAATACATAAAGAAACTCCATGCAAAGTTATGAGATAACAAATTTCCTGTTTTAAGAACAGGACAAAACTACACTGAGACTGTGTATAGTCGTTGGTATCCCCATCCACATGGAAGTCTGGAACCTTGCTTAGTTTTCTAGGGATTAGGAAAGAAAAAGTATTTCCGTGTCACCACTCTTTTCCTAAGAAATGGGATGAGCTAAGAGTTTTAATGGACTGAAAAACTGAGATTGAGTCTTTACTGTGCTTGTCTATAAAATATTGTTTTGTAATTGTATTTGATGTTCAAACTGTGTGGCTCCATGTGATGATGAGGAGCATAAGAGAGGACACTGACAAGGGGAATACCTCTCTTCTGTTCAGGAAGACTTATGTGGGATTTGTCCTACACAGCAAATAATTGTTTTCATGAAGATGTTTTCCTGGTCTGAAATGAAAATGGTTTTAGCAATTAAGTAAAAGAAGGAATAAAATCGAGCAATCTCTAAAGCATAACTCAGTCTGGTTTTTACTGCACTTTGGCATTATCACTGATTTTATTACACATTTTAACTTGTCGTATACAACTTATTTTTGTCTTAAAACCAACACCATTTCTCTCCCTGGTGAATGACTGCAGTAATTACAATTGTTTACTGGCTTCCTTGGTGAAACAGACAAGCACTTTTAATGGCTTTTATTTATTTAATTATTTTAGGATTCTGTAAGAAAAAAATGATTTTCTCCTTCAAAGGGATCACATTTAAGCCACTGCCTCAAACTTCTCCCCGGGTGAATTCTTGTCTATAGATTTTTCAACTGTGCTGTGGTTGCATATAAGTACTTAGAGTTTGTGTTTTATTTCCATCTCGTATTTGTGTTTACAAAATTATGTCTTCAGCGTGGAAAGCTCTGCAGAAAGTCAGGAAGTGTTTGTTTGTGAATACATTACATTTCTGCCTCCCCCTGTTTTTGTTCTGTATTGCTCCAGTCGGTGCGCTGAAGCATGACAAGAGCTCCAACTCGGCAAACTTCCAAGATGTGGAGGATACGCCTGACAGATGCGTCTTGGAAGAGTCTGAGAGTCCAGGTGAGAGGCATTTAAAGACAGACACCAAGTATCAAGTGATAAATCTGACACAGCTTTTGGGTCTGTAAAAAAAGCACATTGTAATGCTGTTTCCTTTTTAGCAGCTGCAATGTCAAATTAATGGTCACCTCCAGGGGTCACAGTGTGGAGCTGTTATCCTTTCCTCTTTCATCAAGAATTCAGGTCTTAGAAAGGATAAAGGCTTTATGACCAAAAAGAAAGCTGACACTACTAGTTCATTATAATTAGTTTTGGACTACACTGCTTACTTAATATATGTACAGTGTCTGACCCTTTGAAGGTAGCAAGAGATTATGAAAAATTAGAAGGACTGTATATACTGCAGTTGAATGTAGCGGCAGACATTCAAATGCTGTATTTCTGGGGGAAAGAAAATTGGTGGCGTTAAATAACTTGGTCTTTTTCTTTAAATCAGCTCACGATCCTTATTTCATTTTAATGGCTTTTAACATTGATTCAGCTAAATACAAGAACATCCATAGAGTGCATCCTTTTTGGTGACTAAAAGATTTATCTTCACGTAGTTTCATTATCTTTCTCGTTATGGAACAACTACAAAATATATTAAATGAATCCCAAAGGGAAACAATTAAATATAAAGTGTATCGAGTCACAGCTGATTAAAAACATTCTTTGTGACTAAATACTAAGATCTTTTTAAGCAAACTGTGAGTTTGACCCACATACACCACATATGTAACCTGCGCGTAGTACTCATTAGTGAAAGAGTTAAACATCTTTCTTCACTTGCTGTTTCCCTTCCCTGCTTTATCTGGTCTCTGTGTACCCTCTTGCATCTTTGTGTGCTGATCCGTGTATCATATTTTTGATTCATCGTCTCTGCGGCCTGTCAGCTTAGTTAAGAGATTTCCAAATCTTGCAGCCTGTGCTGACAGGGGGCAGCTGCCAACAGTCCCCTGATCCTTCCCCAAGGAACACTGCTGAGATTTAATTTTCAGTCAAAGGGTGCAGTCTGAAATCCATGTCAGGTCCCCTAAGTCATCTCAGACCCCAGATAGGACCCATGTCTGGGGGATTATATTTCAGCACACTCCACTCCTCCAAGATTCCTTGGGAGTTCAACTGCTGTCATATACCTGATTTGAACTACATTCCCTTTTCATCTTTTCCACAGAAATGAACACCAGTATATGTTAGAATAATTGAAACCAATGAATTGTAAATCCATATTCGTTTTAAAGCCACGTAGGCTTGGACTCAGCACTGTACAGCAGAAACCAGCATGAGATTTAGAAAGAAATACATAATCTGCTCAGGAAGGAGCCAAGTTTGGTTCCTTATCACACCTGCGGTGGTGCATGGCAACTCCTTCAGAAACTGTCTACAGTCCCTTCAATGATAACTATGGGCAAAAATGTGGATTGTGCAAGTTGTGATTGTTCTGAAGTGAGAAAGAATTAAAACACTTTAAAAATTAAAAAAGAGGTGACACTAAAGTGTCCAGATAAAGAACTCACGTACCTTAAAGATAACATTAATTTTCACCTTAAATTACTTCTGTGTGGCAAAGTGTACACATTTGGATGGGAACTTGAATATCCAATTCTGTACTCTGCATATCTGTATGAAGTAATAGAAAGGATAAAAGCCTGTCAGGAGGTGATATTTACTGGCAAAAATACATGTTGATAAAGCATCTAAACTTAAAAACTGAGTTCCATTCGGTCCATCTGACATCATTAAACTAGTAATAAACAATGAATTACTCTGGCTTTTGTTTCTGTCCATTCCTGCATTTTAAGACATCTTGTCTTATAGGTCTGAAAACCTCAGGAGATTTCACTACTGGTCTCACTGCTTTCCACTGAGAATTTGTGGCTTGGTTGTCATGGAGACATCGTATTTCTCCAAGAATTGCTCATATTGATCCGTGGACAGGCGTAAATGGCCAGGCGAATGTGAGGAGTAAAGGGGGTTGGGCAGTACTATAAAATGACCAGAGGTTATGGGTCGGAAATAAGCTCATAGCAAACACTTAGGTAAGGAGAAAGAAACAGTTTCATTTTGTTTCAGGATTTCGGTTTTGCACTTTATGCCATTGTCTTCTTTCACTATAGACTGAAAGAAACTTGTTAGTCACTTGTCATGTCAGATCTTTGGTGCTTGTCCTGACACAGCTGTCAGCCTTCCAGCTCTGTGCAGTTCAGGGACACACAACAAAGAGCTAGGAACATGAATTATTTATTGCTCCTTGTGCGGATGAAATTCTGTGATAAGAAATTAAGACACTTCTGACAGAAGTGCTTGTTTGAAAGGGAAGACTTGGTAACACAATACATTTACTTAAAACTTACCGTTTACTTTTAGTAGCAAACATTGAAACAATAATATGACAATCCGTTGGCTATGATTTTCTCTAGTATTTCTCAGGTGCATTAACTTTGAATCATATCTTGGAATCTGAGAGTTCCTGGGAGGTCAGCATTTGGTTTGGTGCAGCCTCTGACTTTAAAATCTTTGACAGTCTGGGCAAACTTACAGACTCCATTTTGCAGTTTTCATTTTCAAGTCACTGTATGTGTTTTGCGGAGCCTCTTCCGCTTCACTTACAATATGTTGTCATAACATAAGAAATACATTAATTTTCTTTTCTGATGAGGAAAAGGTGAAAATATGACAATGTACCTGCAAGGAATTCCAACTGTTCCTAGAAAGGGTCTGTTATTACAACTTCCACATGAATCAGGAAGGCTCTAGAGCAGCCATTAACAGACATCTCTGTGAATTCTGCTTTCTGGCGGTGAAAGGAGCAGTCTCTAACCTTGACATTTGACTGAGACTTATTTTAAAAGTGATCTTCATTTCCTAAAATCACATAAAGCTTACTGTGCTTATTTCAATTTCCCATTTTCTATGTCCTGAGCATGTTCTCAGTGCTCTGGATGTGGGCCTCCAGCAATTGTAGAAAAAGGCATATACTCAGATGAATAGCAGGAATCCATTTGACTACCCAAGACACCAATCTGAGATTTACCTGTGATTTCTTGTATTCAATGTGTGATCGGAGCTACTCTCAGATAGGTAATAAAACCCCTCAACCTACACTTTTCTCTTAGATAATTCACACTAAACACTTTTCACATGTGATGGACACAGGTAAATATCAGACTGCAGTTTCTTGTCTAAGTGAAATGGATTTTAGTTGCTCCCTTCATGTGCCTACAAGCTGCCATTATCTGTGATAGTGGCTCATGTCTGTTTTAGCCCACACACAGAGGAGATGCTGGGTTTCTCTCCTAGATGCCTAATAGTAGGTTTATCACTGCCATTTTCCCCCCATGCTGAGGACTACTTCTGTTTGACATGCAAAGCCTTGGCTTTTTAAACTTGTCTCTGCTTTGGCCTTAAACATAATAATCAGATAAGAATTACATCAACCTTTTATAGAACTTTACTTTTGATCATATCAACCTATAAGGAATTCACTATCCCTTAGAGTGCTTCTTTAGTATAAATAAATATTCTCAGCAGTGGGTTTTGTTTTATCAGACAAATTTTCCACATTTAGGAAACAGAGAAAGAGGCCACAACTGAGTCAACACAGATGTGTAAGTTAGACTGCTAGGTCTGAGCTCTTCACCCAAGTTTTCTTGTACAAACGGTGGTGGAAAATTCACACTTCCAGAGTGCAGATCATCTTGTCCAAAGGGAGTTGCTTAAGAAGGGGTTTGAGGGGTTTGAAAGCACTCTGAATTTTGGCAGTCAAAACGTAAGAGGAATGACACAATTTGAGGTGTCTTAGCTTTCATATGTGGTGCAAGCCCACTAAGGAGGGTTCTGCAAGTACAGCTTTGGTGAGAAAAAGCAGTAGATTTTAGCTGAAGTGACAGGAAACAATGTAGGCACAGATGTCCTTTGGCTCTTATTTCCCCACTCCCTCTCCCATTTCCCCTCACAGACCCAAACTTAGGCCTCCTCTTCCTCCTAGCTATATCCCCTCTAGCAGTCTACTCAATCCTAAGGTCAGGCTGAGCATCAAACTCCAAATACACCCTAATCAGTGCACTACAGGCAGTAGCACAAGCCATCTCCTATGAAGATCTGCAGAGATACTGCAGTAGTCTAGGCAGTAGACTGTTACTTCACTTGGTTACAGGGGGAAATCGAGTCTCCTTAATGGAAGATTGAGTTGGAAGCTGTAGACAGAAATTACAGTGTTTTCTATCTTCTGGATGAAAACCATGTAAATGGTAAGAGCCCTATATGCTTATGGCCTTCAGTAGCCAGTCTCTACCTGAGTCAGCTGATCCCTTCTTCAGCTCATGATCTCTTCCATCCATTCATACCAGAAACATTGCCCATATTAAATTTTTCCCTCTTCATTTTTTTTACTTTTTAAGGTAGAATGTGATTCTGGATGAATAGCAAATAATAGTGAATATCCAAACAGTTTCCACAGCCTTGCTTATCCTAGATAGACTTTGGCATAGAGAGGGGAAAGATCTCTGACTGTCCATGAAATACAGTCTTTGAGAGACAGAACTGCAGCAAATAGAAATGAGAATGTATCAAGAACAGATTCTTATTAGCCACAATGTGCTTAAAAATACAGTACTAAAATTGTGACAATCTTGTTATGAAGCATGTTATGATTACTCTATTGAATATTCACTTGCCAGCTCCATGTTTCATCCACTGAAGAGAATGTTATTGAAATCATCCCTGTGTCACCAATATGGCTGTTTATCAGTACACAGGCAGAACATCAAAATAAATATTCAGTACATTTCCAAGTATGAAACACCCTAGAAAAGCATGATTTTCTCTATCTGCATCATCATGACAAGTACGACGGATTGTGGACTGGAGTCCTTGAAGTTGTTGATGATGATAATAAGCAGGGTTAGGATGCAATGTAGGGGCAGCCTGCTGATCTCAGGCACTGATCACCCATACTGCTCAGTGGCTGTGCCTAGGAATTACTCCAGATAAGAATTTCTGGAGTGCAGGCAGAGGTGAACCCATAAGAGCTTCACTGCAGTAGATGCAGTGTCACAAACTATCAGCATTTTAGGTTATTAGTATCTTGAATCAAGTTTGGTTTTGTTTTAAATAGTAAATCAAACTGTAAAACCAGAAGACGACACCGTGGAGATCAGGAAAACATATACCTCTGTCTCTAGGACATAGAGAGACAGAAAAATGATAGATGATATGATAAATGTACAAGTTATCCATTAGATTGGGAAAATGCAGTGTGTGAAGTTTTCTTCGTAATCATGGACTCATGGAAGGTGTTGTATCTGTTTAGGCAGTGTTCCTGATACAAGTAATATTTAAAACTCAGGTTATAAGTATTACAATATGTCAAATAAGGAGAAATCATGAAGCTGAAAACTGATGATTGAGTGTGTTCTTCTGTGGAATTCTAATAAAGCATGACAGAATTAGAATATAGTTTCTCATTAGTGTAACTTCCTATTACTTCTGTTTACAGCCATTGTACGATTGTTTCTGCTAAAATAAAATACATAGAATTTGAAAATTACATTTGCAGAGGAAACATCATCAATCTATTACTTTAAAACAGAAATTATCTTTCTGCTGATCCGCTGGAATGTTTTCTTTTAAAACAAAAAAGGAAGACAAAGGAGAAGGTTGTTCAGGTGAAAATTTTTGAGGAATGCTATTTCTTCTCTTGAGCTCTTCTGGGTTCCATATTGCCCCCTGTGCTATACCAATTATCCTGTAAAGAGTCTTCTGGAGGTAGACTTTTGATATTTGTTAACACTAGCATGATAGTGCTGAAAGTTTTCATTCTGTTACAAAAATTACAGAGCTTAGTACTCTATAAAAAGTTTGTAAAGTGATTTCTTTTTAAAAAGACAAATCTTGCCTCTTACCTCAAATTTAAAATTGTTAAGGCACATGAATACATTTCTTTTCCAGATGATATGAAGTCACATCCCTGGATATCTAAGGTGTGCTCCTGTAAGGTGTGTTAGAAAAACCTGTGCAGCCAGAAGAATCAGAAGATGCACAAGAACAACCAAGAAAGAATATATGTGGTCTGGATGTGAAATGGCTTATTTTAGTTGTTATTGTATGCATTTAACAATTCATTTTCAGAAGAAATTTATTCCATAAAATCAGCTTATTTTTGCTAGTTTAGTGGCTTCAATTCATACGTCCGTCATTAACAGTTTTAGATTTATTCAACTAAATTTAGATATTTCTAGCATAGAAAATATCAACTCTTTATTTTTAGATGTTTTTCTCTAGTTTATGTAGTGATCACAAATCTTAGAACTTTGACCATAAAAATTTGCATCAGTTTTAATAGTCTTTTATATATGTAAAATTTAAATTTTTCTCTCTCCTTGCTTCTGGCTTTTATTACCAGTAACATTTTAACACTGATCAAAAGCAAATGCATTTGAAATAACTGGAAACATTGTTTGTATTTGAAGGAATGAATATGGAGTAGTTAGAAACAACTAAAACACAACAAATGTTATTTGCAGAGAAGAGCATGGGAAATTGATTATAAATCTAGTGGTACCTAGGATGTGAATTTTCCTTTTCTATAAATACTGCCATCACCGTCATCTCTGGAAATGTAGTACCAATATGAAGTTGGAGAAGCTGATTGGAGGCCTCTTCCGAAATGATAGGTAGTTTCTATTTGTGCTCACTGGGAAAAGCATCTATACATTTTTGTCTTTTAAAAAATATATATTGTTATGTTTGGAGAATATTTTGAGCTTATTAGACTCATTGGCCACCTAATGTTCTTGGGGATTTATGCTGGTTTGATAAATAATGGCTACTTAGAGCAGTAAGCTCACTTTCTGTATTACAAATTGTCAGAGTGCTAATGAAGCCAAAGGGACTTGAGGATGGGCTTTTCTGGATCTGTACATTTTGGTGGAGATAATGGCCTGATGTGATCCTTCCTAACTGTCAAGGTGCCTTACCTAGCAGAATGAAGATTTCTTCAGTGTGGAGAGATTCCCTGGCAATGGATCTCTTTCTTAATTGTGGGGAAATGTCATGGCTGCAGGAGTGACAAAACTAGGTTTCTGTTGCCATATTGTGGCCTGATTTTGGTTAAACAAACATTAAACCTTTTTTGTTTTGTTTATTTCTGTCTCATAAGTCTATATCTCTAAATGGAGTGTATGGCAGCGAGGTCTACGGAAACATTGATGGATGGGCCTTTTAAGAAGTAGCATTTCCTTTTTTATTCACCTAAAGAATATGTCTTTAAAATAGGTTGCAATCCAGAGAAGATAAAGATATTTTATGTATCTTTTGCGTATATGAGCTTGTATTTGAATTATGGTGACTAAACAATCTGGATGTTGAGTGTTATAGCTTCGTTCTTTCATTTATTGTGCTGGATGTCTGGGATAATTCCATTGACTTATTTATACCTGTACAATACAACTGAGAGCAGAACATGTCTTCAGCTGACATATATACTCTTTTATGGTTAAATCAGAGATGCAGACATCAAGAATGTAAAAATAAAATTGCGACTATAACTAGAGGAACTTAGTAACTCTATGGGAACCTTGCAGTCTGTAAAATAAGTGGCAAATAAAGGATGGACCTTGCTATCTCCTTTGCCACACATCCTTGTTACCAGTCACATCTGGTTTGCTGCAGTAGGCTTCCACTGGCATTGAAATGTCCATTTCCCTTCACAGCAAACATTCCTGCTTTGCATCAGCATCTGCTCACTTGGGCCAGCTCTGTTCTTAGTGCCAGGATAACAGACCTCCTTAAGACTATTTCTATTAGCTATTTTAAAACCTGATAGGTTCAAAGAGGTCTCATAGCTCAAGGAATTGGCATTGTCCATAACACCCAGTAATGCTGTAGTAGCAATTACATTTGTGCAACACAATATTTGATTGCTTGTCTTTAATTCTGCAAAGCAGTGCACATCAGCAGCCTGCCAATATAGACAGCCTTTTGGAATGGTTTGTGCAGTCATGATTGGTGTTTGGCACATGCTTATGCGTGCTTTGTGCTAATTATAATTACAGTGTCAGTAAGGTAAAGCAGGAAATTTTTGTAGGTACATTTATTTGCCAGTAAAGCAAACATATTTCCCATGTGGTCTGGATGTCTTTTAAACACCAGTCTTACAGTATATGCTCAAGATGAACTTTTGCTTAGAACATTATTTTTGCATGAAAGCGACAACTTTAGAGCTATATACAAAAATACATATTAACCTCCTGCAATGGTTTCTTGTAAGCCATAACTGAAGAAACATCTCTATACTAATGCAGTCTGATGTACTGCTCTATTAATGCTTATGGAGATTGATTTTATAACGAAGTTGCAAGGTAATTAAGAATATATTTTTCTATTGGGTTACACTGAAGGAATCCTGCCAAAGGGAGTAATATGCTAATATTTTAGATTAGTTGTCTAAATTTTAGATAGGGGTTAAAAAATTCATGAATGCTTAAACTGCTTAAGGAGCAAAGTCTTTTTGTTTTCTTCCCTCAGAAGTCAGAAGTTGCAGGGCTCAATAAACTGTTGTGGTTTCATAGTCAGGATGACTTCTCTCCTCTCCAGCCATATGCTTCTATGTCTTCTCACTTAGGTTTGCACTAGTGCTTATATGGCCAGGCTGTGTCAAGACAAGCACTGGCTTCAGTGCAAAGAGCAGAGGAGGAACAAGCAAGCCAGAAGAAGGTAGAAATACCACAGAAGTGTGAGATGACCCACACATGCATCAGCATTATTTCAGCATGAAATTGCAGCTTTAAGATGATACATGCAGGGGTCTGTCTTGATAGATTTTCAGCTTTCAGAGCCTGTAGGCTTTTTTTATGTTATGTGCATAATTCATTATATTATTAACAGAAAATTAAAAAGCAAGTTACTGATCCTTTAGTATAAGCCCAAACAAAAACTCACTGATATCTCTTTGATTTCAGGGGGTTTGAGTTTTCCAAATGATTCATACTTGTTAAGTGGTCACTGACCTAGATTCCTGCCTTGAAATATTCCTAAACTTTGAATATTTATGGTTCCAACTCAAAGTATTATATTTTGAAATCTCTTGTGCTATTTACATATTTTAAATTTGATCATTGAAATCAATGGCTTCTGTATTTTGTTGTATTTTGGGTTGTATTTTGTTGAGCAATGCTCTTCCCCAGTCCAATGGAAGATGTTCTGAAAGCAAATTGACCTGGAACTTGAAATATGTATGAGAGATTCAGTGTTTCTTTAAAAAAAAAAAGAGACTTTTTAACAAAACTGGAGTTGCATGCATGTTCCTGACAGGGCATCTGTGACAACAAAGTCCTGCTACTTGCACTGGATATCGCTGCTGAATTTTGCAGGCCATTGTTCTTGCATGAGAAGAGGGTGCAGAGGAATTTCAAGGTCTGGTCTTCCTGCTTTTCCTTACTCATAGGATATGCAGTCTGAACTGTTGGGCAAAGCTTTTAGAATTATTACTAGGGTTTGAGATGGGTTGTAATTTGAATTCATAGACCCTCAAAGTGAAAACTCATCAATCTTAGTTTTGAAGAAGTAATTTTATGTTGGATGCAACATAAAATTCACACAATAACCTGGAATTGTCTTATGAGGGACCATGGGAAGTTTGTTTCTTGAATGACACCTGCTGGAAAGTCCAAAGTGTGTCCAAGAACTGTGCTGCGGGACAGAGGCACATCACATGAAGACTACCTTCCCTGTCATGCTATGAATCTGAGTGTCCTGGATATGGTGTGGTAGGTAAGTACAAATATAGCTGTCAAGGTGAAGCAGTGCAAGTTGCTAAATAATTTTAAACATGAAGCTTAAGGGTTTTTTAGAGTGGACTGTGCATTTGATGAAACTCTTACACAGTACAAATTTAATTGCACTTATCTTTTTCTGTCATGTATTTCTAGAAACCTTAGCTTGAGAAGAGTGAGTTGTGCAGCCTAAATTTACATTGTCTCTTATAAACAGGGATAAAAACTGGTTTTCTTCTTCTGGCAATACTCTCAGTAAGATATCTGTGAAAAATAACATCGCTGAAATAAGTACTGTATGTCATTTCCTTAAGTCAATTACTCTCTATTTTTACAGCAACTGGGAGATTTGATATAGATATATATATATAAGCATTTTAAAGCTTAATACTCAGCAGAGTAATATTAAAAATATTCAACATTAGTAAAATAATATTTTCCTTATTATATTCCTTATGTAAACAATGTCTAAACTCCTTGCTAATCAGGTCCTGGGGAAATCATACTCTCAATCATGAATTTTCTGCACAGAAGCTCAGGGTAATAAAAGATTCTGTCCAGTTTCAGACCTGTATTTTCCACAGTCACACTGGCAAACAGACTTGCAGCCCTGCCCAGTAGATGCAGCATACATATTTTTGTTGTTTGTTTTGGTTTGTAGTCTTCCTGCCATGTAGATGGCAGCAGCACTCAAGCCTTGAAATTCAGTCCGGCTTTTTCTTGAGTTTATTCTGAAACACCATGTTTAAGTATGTTATTGTTGAGGGTGAACTGAAAGCATGATTACCTTAAAGGTGCATATCAGCTTGGTTATATATACACTTTTAATGAAGCCTGTAACTTCGTTATATCAGTGTTCTAAAGGCACTGCACCTGCATTAATATAGATGCCACTGTTTGGGGTTTTGCACATTATGGTGTATTATCTTTTTCTAAATTAAATGGCTAGTATGTTTTTCTCCTGTGCTAGGTGTCAGGACACACAGGGTGTTTCTGAAAGTTGAAAAATGATAAGATTTACTAGGATAATCCCCACACCCATTTCTGCAGAATGAGATGCACCTCGTAGGTGCTTGGGCAGGAAAGCTGTTGGCTGTGGGTATCCTTTTCAATGGTACAAAGAAGAAGGACAGAGAAAGGCAGTGGGATACACAGTGTAGGATTTCGTGCTATGGGCTCTGCTAATCATAGTGCTTTATAAAAAATACCATAAATTATCCTGGGAAAAAAACATTTTGCAGGTCCAAATATCTTTTAGCTTGGATAGATATCCATAGTGTGGAACTGTCTACACTCTGACATTTACTTTGGCTAAGAAGTAGAGAGGGGTTTTGTAAGAGAGGCAACAAAACTGAGACCCAGAATCAAAGCTGTCTGGCAGCCTGTCTCTGCAGCATCAGCTGAAACCTCAGGGAGGCTTTGTGGGATCATCTCCAGGCCCTGGGAGATAAAAGCAGGTGTTACACACGTGACTGTGCACAGAGGAAAAAACTAGCACAAAAAGGCATAATTATTGTAGTTCCTTGAACTAGGAAATACTGTTTAAATGCTGGAGGCAAACTGTTGTGGTTTAGTAAGCTGTCATACAAAGTAGATTGGTACTAGCTCCCTCCTTGTTTCTTAACCAGTAGCAGCTGAAGTAACAGAGAGATTAAATATTCAATGGAAAGCATTTCTCAGTACACAGAATCCTGTCTGGGCATGCATTTGGTGGATGTTTAATCCACATTGAGCACGGAATCAGCTAAGGTACCTGGTAAAGTAGGCAGACTGTGGCGCTTAACTGTCCCCATCCAAGTGCCAGAGCTGCAAATTTAGACAGGTCTGTTCTAGGCTTCTGCAGAAGCTGTGAGAGAAACAGGCACCAATATCCCTCTGATGCCCTTGTTATATGGTATGAAGTAGAACTCCTTGGCCCAGTATATCATCCAACCATTTGTAGTCAGGCAGATGATCTTCAGAGGGCAGAATTCCACACTGGAGGGTCCATTACAGCTTCAAGCTATGGTCAATGGATGATCTGTGACCACACAGGCTCCTAATACCTAATGGGGCAAGGACCAAAAAGCCATTACACTTGTCATGATACATGTACTTCAGGTAAAGGACTAACACAGGGAAAGTATGAATTTGTGTCTGATAAAACTTGTGACAACAGTAAAAGTAGAATTAATGATGGTTAGGAAAAAAACAGCAACAGGATACATGGCCCATCAAAACACTGGGATAGCCAGCTTTTGTCTCTCCTGCGTAACACTGAGTCCAACGCTACAGATGCTGTATTGGACAGTGCGAATGGGAAAAACATTTCACTTTTTACATCTCTTCCACGTAAATTCATGCCAAGAGCAAATATATTTTAGCTGCTTATAGGGCATGTTTTGGAGATTTGGTGGGTTTTACTCCCCACTTCATAGCAACCATTAAATCAATCTTAGATTCCATTCCAGTGAGCAGATATTTGTCAGAAAGCTGCTTCAAGGTCTCCCAAATCCACATGGGGGAATTTGATATTTTCAGAATGATGCCGCTGCTTAAGTAATAAAAATATCTCTTCACCTTTCCTCTATCACACTGGTAGTTCACTTACAGAAGAGGTTTGTGCCTTGTAACCAAAACTGCATTAAGATTCAAACAGTTCATAATAATGCTGATTATGACCTATAAAGAATACATATTTTAAAAGCTCTTGGAAATTTAACATCACTTTATGTGTGTTAGTATTTTGTCTGTGGCATGGAAATACCTGCAAGGCCCTACCTCAGAGAAGTTTT